GTTCCTGCCATCAATCATAAAGAAGGTCTTGTTGTTCGAGTCTCTTTTGATAATACGCTTGATGACGGGGTTGGTGCGGTGACGGGCGGGGTCGCGCTCGAGTTCGATCTCAATCTCAGCCTCTTTCTGGCCGTGCTTGACGAATTCGGAGGGGTCCTTTGCTCGACCAAGAACGTCAGGTTTGGCTCCAAGACCCAAGCAGATAGCGCAGACCAGGGTGCTCTTTCCAGTGCCGTTGGGACCGATAATCATGTTCAAGCTGGGACCAGGAAGGAATTCGGCCGAGGTGTATGTAACAAAGTCCTTCATGGCGACCCTGACAATAGAGCCAGGTGAATGAGTGAGGGGCGCCGCATCGTTCTGGCCGTTCTCGTAGCTGCGTGGCAGTAAAGGAGTCTGCATNAGGAGATTAGTGAGGGCGCGAGAGACGCAGAGTGGTAGATTATACCTGTGAAGCATGGCCGTTCAAGCGTGGGCGCTTGTCAGATGAAGGCGTCGAGCCGTCGACATGACTCTCGTCGTCTTCGTCATCACGCGGCCTTCGCATGGGCACCAGTCCAGGCATATTTGCAGTTGCGACAGCGATGTACGGCCGAGTCGTAGGACTGAAATGTCGATGTGCTGCCTGGACTGAGAGTGACGCGTTGGGCCAATTGCCGACGCGACGGAAAGTGCAAGGCGCGACACTTTCCCCTCGACCAAGCATTTTGCTGCTAAATACATCCATCATTGCAAAAATAAAGATAAGATTCCAGTGATTGCATGTTTGAAGCTGTCAAATTGTGTGCAAGGCTCATATCTCCTACTTCATGTCTATCCCATCTCAAACGCCTCGTAGTGGTATCAACATGCATCCGTGAAACCCATCATAAACCAACCTTCCAAGCCATAGATACGACTGCAAGGCTGCTAGTCATCGCCTGCGCTATCGTTGTCATCGACGAAACTTCCGTCGACACTTTCCTCACCAGCAATGCTGGTCTGCAAGCTTGCCGTACTGCCAACTCTCTGTAGCTTCATGCGTTTCCGTAGAGGTGTGTTGTCTTCATCGTCTCCGAGCTCGTCTCTTTCTCTCTTGTCCGTCTTTGAATCCGACTTGCCTGGACGCTTCCCAAGCTTTGAACCCTTTACATCTTTCTTCATGCTTTCCTTGAGTCCTCGTTTGAGCACCTTCTTACGCACTCCTCCGGACTTGTCATCGTCTTCGTCCTCATCATCGTCTCCGTTCTTCGAACCACGTGAATGGGGTGTTGGTGTACCACCTCTGCTGCCGAGCGGAGACGCTCCGTTTGCGTTGTTAAGGCGAGCAGCTCTAGCACCTCTGCCTCCGATTCCGAGACACTTCTCCAAGTGTTGGGCAAAGCGCGTGATGAGTAGACTGCGCTTGCATGACGGACAAGTGTGCCACGGGATGTATGTGCCGCCCTTGAGTCTTTCGCCAACCTTGGCAGCCTTCTTGTCAACAGGACCGCCTGTGTTGGGCTGCTCTGCAGAAGGCGAGGGAGGCGCGGTGCCGTGCTCCTTGGAAGCGTTCGATTCGGCCTTCATTCTCTCGCGCTCTTTCTTGGTTGGTGGCTTGTCGCTACCAGCCACTGGGAATGGATTGCCATAGATGTCGTGGCCAGGTCGCGTGGACCACGGTATGTGTGTGCAGTATTGTATCTTCTTGGGAGGATTCACATTTGCTAGAGGAGGATCCAGGAGCCGTGGGAGGTTACATGATGGGCAGATTGGTAGACCTGTCGAGGGGTCGACTGTTCGTAGAAGTAGTTTCTCGCGGCGATGTGTCTGGAGCACCAAGTCGTGGATGACGGTATACAAACAGTCGTTGATGATGCTTTGAGTNCTGCTAGCTAGTCAGCATCAGCTTCTTTTGCCACAGGTTCCGGCGCATACCAAAGACCCAAGGTCGACTTTCGCATCCTGGTCCGAAGACATTCCGTCTGTTGTGGCTCTCAAGGACTGGCGCACCGACTCACGGCATAGGTTGCGATTCAACAGCAACTGGTCTCGAACCTGTCCACCCGAGAAGCTCCTCTATTGTGCAAAGACAGAATGACGATGGTTGTTCGACAAGTTGCGAGTGCAGCTTTAGGGACGCCGACTCGCCGGCTATTCTTGACCGAACCCCGGACGCCCATTCTAGCTCCCGTCATGTTTGTGGGGGTCACTGCTCCATGCAAGCTTGAAGCATGTGAAGAAGGCTCGACGGCTAGATCAAAAGAAAACCATGTACATTTGAAGTCATGCCATTCTACATATGAACCCATCCAATCTAGATGACCAAGTTCATCTGAGTGTCTTCCACACTGTCCTCCGACCCTCCTTCTATGTGCGCAAAACACAAAACGCCTTGTATTGTTACACGACTCGGTCTCCTAGCCTGTCCACTATGACAGAGGAATACCCTCGTACTCGGCGTAGCCCAGAGCGAGGTTCATGTTCTGCAGGCACTGAGTGGCTGCACCCTTGAGCAGGTTGTCGATAGTGGCGTTGATAACGACACGCTTGCCACTACTGTGCACAGCAAAGCCACCAATCTCAACACCGTGCTTGCCAGAGATATTCTTCACAAGGGGGCTCTCGCCAATGACCTTGACAAGCTTCTCGCCGTTGTAGCGGTCTTGGTAGAGCTGACGAATGTCACGAGAAGCCATTGTCTCGGCCAGAGGAATAGAGATGGTGTGGTGGATGCCAGCAAACCAAACAGCGACGTGGGGNATGAAACCAATCTCACGTCCGAGCTGAGCGCTGATCTCTCGCTCGTGGATGTGATCGGTCAAACTGTATGGAATGAGGTTATTAGTGAGGTTGTCTACGTCGTTCTTGGGGCTGGGCTTGGTGCCTGCTCCTGAGTAACCAGAGACACCGAAAACGGTAGGGTTTGCAGGAGCTGCGGCAAGGTAAGGGACCAGAGGAGCGATACCGAGCTGAGCGGCAGTAGCATAACATCCAGGGTTGGCAATACGGGTAGCACCTGCGATCTTGCTACGCTTGACGAGCTCGGGCAGACCGTAGGTCCACGATGAGTCGAAGCGGTAGTCAGCAGACAGATCGACAATGACAGATTCCTTGTGGCTAGAAGCCTCAATGGCGTCGACGAAAGGCTTGCAGACACCGTTGGGCAGGGCCATGACCCAGCAGTCAATCTCGCCAGCATCGGCCATGCGACGAACGTCATCGGGAGAAAGGTTCTCGTATGTGATGTCGCGCTTGGTGTAGCCAGCAAGCTTCTTGCCGTTCAACTCACGTGATGAGACGTGACGGAGGTCCATGTTGGGGTGGCGGTTCAGAAGATCAATCAAAGCCTGGCCAGTGTACCCGCGGGCGCCAATAAGAGCAACCTTGGAAGGGTAGTCTTTGTCCTGGTTTTTGATGCCAAGAGGAGGGTTGGGGTTAGTTGTGGTAGCGTAGCCACGTCTGCTAGGGGTACCAAAGGCACTNGAGGTTTGTTAGTATGTAATATATCACCGAGATTCTAGCACGACTGACCTGCGAACACGCTGCATGTTGCGCGAAGAGAAGGAGCTGGTCGAAAATGCTCTGGTCTGCTGACCAAGCGATTCTCTGTGCTGCTGCAGCTTTTGTGCGACATCCTTGATTCTAAGAGCGCCTGATGCAGCGCGGTGGAGCTGACTCTCGAGGTTGTTATCACCAAACATCTGTCTGCCGTGTTGGATGAACTCGGCCATCAACTCGCGCACTTCCTCGGGTGTCTCAATGCCGTACCAGAAGAGGACCTCACCCTGGCGGGCAATGCTGCCGTCGGCCTTTTCGGAGAACCAAGTCAAATTCTCATCGTCCTGCTTGACGGTCCAGGCAAGCTTGGGGTAGTCGTTCTTTAGGTGCTGGAAGACGTTGTCGGCAATGTTGGAAAGCCATGCGGAACGGGTCATGGTCAGGGTAGCCAAGTGAGCCAGACCGCTAGGGGAGGACGAGTCAGGNGGAAGAACAACAGCAAGAGCCTCCATACCCTCATCGTGGTAGGCGGCGAAAGTCTTGCCCTTGAGGCTGTCGAGGTAGCGGTCAACAACAGCCTCGGCGTCAAGACCCTCACGGTCACGGACAAGAACCTGCTTGAGCTTGTTGACGTCGGAGAATTCGGAGAGTGATGAAGCCTTGTGGAGCTTGGTGCCACGGCGAATCAGGGTTCCGGCGCCGGTGTGAGTGAACAGTTCGCGCTCAAGACTCTCGGGGTGGATGATGGCGACACTGGAAGAGCGAGGCAGGTGGTCAAGGAGGTCCTTGATGTCTCGGATCTTGGAACGGGTGCCGTGGATGACCCAGGGCATGTTCATGTAGCGGTCGTACTCCTCGTCGAGGTTGATAGCCTCGATCAGCTTGCCAGTGTCCTTGTTGTGCAGCCCTCCCTTCTCGGACAGGTATACAATCTTGAGGGGAACAAGGGCCTTGGCCAGCTCGGCAGCAGCCTTGTCGGCGTTGACGTTGAGGAGCTGACCCTCGTTGTTCTCGGCCATGCAGGTGAGGACGGGGATGTAGTTGTCGGCAATGGCGGCATTGATGGGGTCGGTGTTGACCTTGTTGACCTCTCCGACGAACTTCCATGTGTCCTTGTCCTTGTAGTCGGCCATGAGCACGCCCGAAGTGACGGGGCGGGCGCGGACACCCCATGACTCAAGAGCCTCGACAAGCTTGAGGTTCTCCTCGAGGAACAGCTTGCGTGCGACGCCGAGCGTGGGACCATCGGTGATGCGGATGCCCTCGCTGTACTGCGGCTCGATGCCAGCTTCTCCGAGCAGCTTGTTCATCTGGGGGCCGGCTCCGTGGATGATGACGGGGAACAGGCCCATCTGGTTGAGGTTGCGCAACGAGCTGCAGAGGACGTCGATGTAGTCGGTGAGAATGGCACCGCCAACCTTGATGACGGCAAACTTCTGCGACGAGACGGACTGGAACTGCGAGAGGTATTGCTGCACCTCNGCCTGCCCGAACCCGGCTGCGTCAGTGTCTGTCGACCCATGTCTCTGGAGCTGCCGCTATTACTCACGCTTGGATCCAAGGTTCTGAAGCACATTGATGACGGCCGAGCGGGCCGATGTCTCCTCGTGCCGGGTGCCCTTCGAGATAGTGGCATAGCCGCCAGCGAGCGCCGGACGGACAGCTGCTCTGCATGCTGCTGCCGACGACACGCGAGCGGTCCTGGCCCTGCCGAGGGCGCGCATACAAGGACGAGCCAACATAGCGAAGTCTTTGTATCGGGGTGGTGGTTGCGTGGTTCAAAAATCACACGCCGGCCAACATGCAGCAGCCCAATGAGTTCAAGAGGAAAAGCACAGCAGTCCGCTTTGCAAAGGACAAGAAAGTCACAATGCCCAGGTTACATGCGGGCCTTGAGTCGACGCCGATGTTCGGGGCATGCGGCTTTAACTCACCCATTTTCCACAATCTAATCTGATTTTTCGACCCCTCCTTCTCACTGACTCGCGCTCTTGTGTGTCTGACAGGCCTCTATCTTTGTCCTGTCCTCGTTATCGCCTTCGACTCGCTACCCCTCTACTACTGGTCAAAGATATACTACCATAGAGTCACGCAGAAGCAATGCCTTTCTTATACAGCTGCCTCGTAACATAAGATATCGTTATCATCTGTTCTTATATTACATTCTATCATGGATCCGCTTTTCTGCAAATGTTATCGCCCTTGACCAATAGCAATGACACCCTACCAACAACGCCTTCGCTGAAATCAGAATTTGTACACTTCTTTGCCATGTTTTTTCTTTTCTATACTTCCTCCTCGTCAGACGAAGCCTCATCATCGTCATCGCTCTCGTCCCAGCCCTCGGCTTCGAGGCTCGATGATCGAATTCCGAAGCTCAAGGCGAATCCTAAAAGACTAATACCACCGAAAATGCCAAAGGCGAGAGCTTCGCCCTTGGGACGTACGTGGGTTGCTGCAGTGAATAATGATCCAGAGACAAANGGTCCGGCAGCGCGTCCCGCAGCTGAAAGTGTTTGTGCAAGCCCGTTCAGCGTGCCCAAAACTGAGTGATTTGGCGCCGAGTTGGTGATCNNTGTCTCTACAATTAGCGTTTGATACCAGACCGAGAGAGCGTTTGATCTTACCAAAAGCAATGCACTGGTGAGGCCACCGACGGCTGCCACAGTCTTGACGATGAGCACCGCACCGAGCTCAATCCACAGCCAGACTTTGCCTGCTGTTGTGTTGTGTCCAGATCCATCCTTCCCGTCCTTGTAACCGACCCAGGGCATGAGTAAGAATGCAATCACGAAACCGAACAAGCCAACGCGATAGGTCGTCTTATTTCCCACCTTTTCGCGCAGCTTGCCAAAGAGTCCGACTTGGAAGACAATAGTGACGAGTCCAGCAAAGCCCAGTGAGAGACCAATCTCTTCAGGCGACAACCCACGGCCTGTAGGAGGTACTGCTTGTGCAAAGATAGGGTACAGCGAATTGTACGAAATATTGGACAGCTGGAAAATGAGGAACGTAATAAGTAGGAGGATGGTGTCACGATTGAACACGGCAGAGCTGCTAAGCGTTTCGTGATTGCCAGTACCCAGTAAATGGGTAGATTCAGCATCGCTCTCGTCATCAGTCGTGTCTTCTTCTGCACCATCGTTACGGGCGCTGGCAGCTGAGTTGGCGTGTTGCTCATGGCGCCTGACATACGAAGGTTTTCTAGCATTGCCGGTGAACTGCCAAAGCCACGCAAAGAGATTGGAGACTCGTTTGTTGAGAGGCGGTAGGTCCTTGGCTTCTTCCAGAGACTCCTCGAGGAAAATTATGGTCAGGACGAAATCAACAAGCAGAACACCAGCGCTGAGCACGTTTGGGGCAAGATACGGGTATGGGTTAGGCTTGCCGTTCCAGGGGATTGTCTCGAATACAAGCAGTCCACCAACAAGAGGACCAGTGATGCCGCCAATGCCGTAAACAACGGGCAGGTAGGTGAAGGCTCGACTCTGATTGCTTCGGTCGGTAATCTCGCCCAGGCACGTGCTGATAACACCCTGGTTTCCGTTGACCAAGCCCATCAGAGTCTGAGCGAAAATAGCCTGCCACAGGGTCCGGCTGAAGCCAAAGATGACAAAGCAGCAGGCGGTCAAGATGGTGCCCATGAGTACGACGGGCTTCCTGCCAATCCTGTCGCTAAGCCAGCCCCAGAAGAAATTGGTAGCGAACTGTGCCAGAGCAAAGCTCGAAGCTATCAGACCGACGTACAAGCCGACTTGGCCATCTTTGACCTCGGGAAAGGTAGAGGCCATGGCAGGCAGATAGGGCGAGATGGAGTTCAGGGCAGTCTGCTCGGCGAGGGCTATGACGGCAAGGATGGCCAATTGGGCCTTTGGGAGCGGCGTCTCATTGTGCGAGTCGTCTTGCGGTCCGGACTGGGCATCGGCGTGGATGTTGGACGACGAGGGATTGGGCGAGGTTGGAGGCTTCCCACGCGATGTGGGCGGTGGAGTGGGGAAGGTCTGATAATGTAGTGTCGAAGATTGCCTCTGGATGAGAGAAGGCTTGTCGGTGCGTGCCATCGACGGCGTGGACGGAGGGTAGCGGGCTATTGAAGCCTCGTGCGCTTCAGAGTCGCGCAAGGCGGATTCGGTGGTGGAAGGTGAGACGGGGTGTGCTGATGGTTAATTTTTTGTCTCATAGGCACGCGAGATGTTGCAACTTGCAGGTGCCTTGTTCCTGCAGACGATCGTTTTTCCCACCATCCGCCGACGCTGCTGTGACGCACCTTGATCCCCGCTTTCGCCCACCCTCGCCCACCTTCCTAACTCGGTCGCCGTCTCTACCAGAGGCTCTGTACGTGTCCAACGCATGTCTACCCAGCTACACACTTGGAGGACCGTTTTCTAGTTTCACAACATGACATGAAGAGAGAGAGAATACCATTCTCGGTGGTGCAAGATTGAGAGGCGACATGCACCTGGCAGCTTAATATACAAATCCCCACAAACGCCTCGCTATGCTGCATAGCATACTATCCCAATGCCACATGCTTCTCTAGTAGTACAAACGTTCAAGTCATATCTCACCACCAGACCACAATCCTAGAGTGGCTCTGTGGAGCCCTCCTACATCTTGTTCATTCGCTGGTCTTGTTTCCAACGAACAGTCCGGTCGACTCTGTTTTCGCCAGACAGCTGGCTTTGAGGATCAATTTCCCTCCAGCTGCCCCGGCCACGACGGCTGGGCTTCTCTGGTGAGAGACTGCCACTCTCGCCCCACATGCTGAGTCGCTGCACCTTTCGAAGCTTCCTCATACCCCAGACGATGGCAATCATACAGAAGACGCCGCAAGAGATGCTGACCAGTGGGAATCCGAAATCGGTTTCCTCGATGAAGTTCTTCAAGTTCATGCCGTAAAGACCGGCGAAGAAGGTACCCACACCGATACCGAGCGCTAGAATTGTGAATTGCAGATCCAAGAGCATCAGTGAGTTGCGGTTGGCGTCCAGAATGGCCTTGACNGCTGTTGCGATTGTCAGCCAGGATTTGACAATCCACTTCCTGATCAGGACTTACATTTCTTCCGTGTTGCGGATGTTGCTGACCAAGTTACTGCTCGCCTGCACAATCTCGTCGCACACCTTGTGGTAGGATTCGAGCAACATTTCGACCTCGGTATGGTCGTCCTCTTCACGCATCACACCATTGGCCTTTTCGGTCAAGTACATGTCTGACAGATCATCGTCTGCCTCGAGAAGATCATCGATGGCATCACGAACTAGGCGTGCTTTCTGCTCGAATGTACCCAGTTTCTTCGAGTAGATCAACAAGTGACGCAGCTTGTTACGATCGATGTCTTCTTCGAGCTCTCTCAAAACTTGTACAACGGGTTCGCGCACGCCCTCAAACTCTCCCTCGAGCGCAGAAGTGACACTTATCAGGACGGCTTCCAGCGCACGAAACTCGTATGGTAGAGTATTGGCAGATCGGCCTTCTCGTAGTTGGAGCTTGCCTTCCAAGTCGTACATGAAGATTGACTGTGTATGCGAGTCTGTGGTCCCGTATGCATCAAACACTAGAACGCGATTGTGGTTGATGAGGCAGCTTATGTGTAAGATTTTGATGAGGATGGCCGACGGGCGTACGAGGATATGCGGCAACGAAGCGGAATCGATTTTTCGAAGGTCGCGAGGAAGGAGACCACANCTATCGCGCCCAATAGTCAGATGGTGCTCTGAATCATTGTAGTTGTAAAGTAATACCTTGGCTATGAGCTCGCTCTTCTTGAATGCGCCATTGACCAGGGTGACTTTGCCATCGCCGTCGAACTCGGTACACCGCATCCTAAGCTCGTTCGTCGGTTTGACGATACGCCCCAGACTGGTAGCTCCCGCATCGTCAAGTAATCTGGGCAGGGGTGGAAGGTCGTTTGGCTGTAGAGGAGCCGTCTTCTTTGGCCGAGCTTGTTGCCATGGCCTTTGCCATCTTGACTTTGACGCACTGTTCCAGAATCCACGACATGAGGGTTGTTGTGACTGTTGTTCCGCGATTCTCAGGGAAGGTCTACGTTGCGAACTTGTCAAGGTGCGTGTTCGAGCAGTGTCGGGCGTAACATGGTGGTGGTTTCGGCGCACTTGCGACTGCGATGCAAGGAATGGCAAACATTCGGCTTGGATCCTTAGGAACTTCAAAACTGCAGGCGATGGCACAGGCGCACGTACGAACGACAGCGCTTGCATGTTCTGTCTGTTGTTGATACTATTAATTCTGCATTCACATTCGTTCAATCTTTTCGCGAATGTCGAATCGCGACGACGTCAGAAGCTGCTTGGCGGCTTCTCGTGTTCTGACCAAGTCATCTTCGCGACCCTGGTCACCCTGCGCTGGTTTTCTCATCCTCGACTAGTAACTGTTCGAGATGCGAATCAATGCAGCATACCAGTATCAAGTAGTACTGGCTACTTCTATTATAGGCGCAACTCGTTCTGATATGGATGTCGTCTAGTTAACGAGGAATCTTGTGTTGCCAGAATATTGTAGAGCTCCAATCCGACCTTGTGCAAGGTGACTTCGAATTTTCTTCTACACCACGATGACACACCAAACAACAGACCTGCTCTGTAACGCGCTCTATGCCTCAAACCGAGTACATTCACTGAACCAAGTGTATATCCTGTCGCCATTACAAACATGCCTATGCCGACCGCCGACACACTTGACGTCAACACTATGATGCTCGGAACAAAGTTCTACGTCTGCTCCTCAATCACCTTCTTCGAGCACGGTCTGTAAGATCAGATTTCAGTGCTATTACCTTGTGTCCGACGACAGCTTTATCGAGCACATGAATATCTTGATATCTTTGATAAAGTCGACCACCTCACGTGGCCCTGCACGCGGCAAATGCGCCACACAACCCTGGTGGCGCTCGAGAGTGTGTGAGACAAAAACGCCCGGACATATCGTCAGAGATCGCGGGCTTCTTGCATCGGTGAGATTCAAGCATGATGCCCAGCGATCTACACACCGACGCTACGTCTGGACTCGATCTAACCTGCAGGTAACAGCGTGTCGGGGCATGAGCTGCACGCAGATTGCTCCAAGCGTAAGTTGCTCGAGGTGGGAACGTCCGCAGGGCCCCTCTCTCCGCCAACGACAATGTCATGGCTCCCATGAGAAATCTCTCCGATCGCACCAGCCCTCTCGTGTCTCTTGAGATCAGATTCACCATTCCGCTTTCAGACACAGTTCACCCTGTTTTCCGGTACTCTTGCGTCGCCAGTTGTTGCTTGTGTCTTGATGCTCTGCTGTTTTGCTCAAGTTCGCCCTTCGCTTTCCTCGCGAGCACCAACTCTTCTCCTTGAGACTGATGACATATGCTCGCCTCACAAACTTTTAGCATACTCTACCGATCATCGTCCGCCAATGCCCTGACGGATGACATCGGCCTTTCTGGGAAGCATATACTCAGCGCTAGCTTCTCAATACTCTACCCTTAATATCACTTCTTCCTATCCGACAACGTGATTATTCGCCTTTTGCGTCTAAAGTATCTCGCACGCTACATCTTGTGTTTCCAAGCCCACTTCCTCATCTTACACAGCATACGTGGACAAAACATGTCTCCCAAGGCACGCGTTCTCGTCTACGTGCTACGCCGCGACCTACGACTCGCCGATAACCCGGTGTTCCACGAGGTGTCACGACTCTTCCAGCAATCCCAGCACCCATTTACCCACCTTCTTCCCGTCTACACATTTCCAGCCAACCAGCTCGAGGTTTCCGGCTTCATATCGGATTCATCAAACAAGTCACCATATCCAGAGGCCAGAGCCCCAGTCAGTGGCTTCTGGCGATGTGGTCAGCTCAGAGCAAAGTTTCTGGCGGAAAGTGTGTGGGACCTGAAGAAAGACTTGGAGAGAGTTGGCAGTGACCTTCAGATACGCGTCGGCACTGTCCACGATGCGGTCCGAAGCATACTTCAAGGCTACAAGGAACACAACGAAGTGGACATCGCAGGTGTTTGGATGACCAACGAGGAAGGCGTTGAAGAGAAGAGGGAAGAGAAGGATGTCAAGAAACTCTGCCAGGAGTTCGACTCGGAGTTCAAGCTTTGGGTGGATGAAAAATACTTTGTGGACGAGTAAGTACATTTCCAGAGCTTGTGCTCGAGAGATACATGACTGACAAGGATCTCACAGCNNCGCGATGTTCCATTCGATGATCCGCGAAAGTTGAGCGATGTGTTCACTGCATATAGGAAGACCGTCGAGCCTCTAAGGTCTGCACCGCGCAAGATCATCCCAGCACCGTCCACCCTACCGCCTCTCCCTACTCACATTCCCTCACAATCTGAGCCCTTCGAAATCCCAGATTCTCTAGAAGGCATCATGGTGGCCCTCACCAAGCCACTTGGAGACGATCTCGGCCTCTCAAATGTGGCAAAATGGCCCAAAGGAGCAGAATCCGCACATCCATACCTGGGTGGTTCAAAATCAGGACACGAGCGCATCGACCATCTCATCGAGAGTGGGAGCATGACCGCATATAAAGACACTCGTAACGGACTACTGGGCCTAGACTTTAGCACAAAACTATCTGCATGGTTGGCTCTGGGGTGTTTCACAGCACGCCAAGTACACTGGAAGCTAGTCGATTTCGAAGATGGAAAAACACCGCTCGGAAAAGATGCTCCTGGATATGGTAAGGGCGAAAACAAGGGCACAGCTGCTGTACGCTTCGAGCTCTTGTGGCGAGATTACATGCGCCTGTGCACGCGCAAGTTTGGACCTCGCCTGTTCCGCGTGGAAGGCTTCAGAAACGACCAGAATGCCTCATGGAAGTACATCTCAAGCCCCTTCAGCGATTCTACCGACAAGAAGAACAAAGGCGGGAGCAACGACGATGACACTGCAGCAGCTGTGTTGCGCTTTGTCACGGGCCGGACTGGTACTGGTCTCATCGATGCCAGTCAGCGCGAACTCTTCTTGACCGGATACACTTCGAACCGCGCAAGACAGAATGTTGCAAGCTACCTGGCCAAACACCTTGGAGTGGATTGGCGCATCGGCGCAGAGTGGTACGAGTGCAACTTGATCGATTACGACCTTTCAAGCAACTGGGGAAACTGGCAATATGTAGCCGGCGTAGGCAATGATCCTCGCGGCGAATCGCGCGTTTTCAACCCCGTCAAGCAAGCTCTGGACTACGATTCACAAGGAGAGTACATCCGCACGTGGGTCGAGGAACTCAAGGACGTCAAAGTAGGATCTCAAAGCGAAGGCACGCAAGACTCGCAAAACTTGATGGGTGTCTTTCAAGCATGGAGATTGCCAGAAGAAGAAAAGAAGAGATTGGGAATACAGTCTGTGGAGTGGGTGCAGAAGCCTTTGGTCAAGATTGATTTCTCGCTCAACAGACGAGGTGGTGGTAGTAAGCGTGGCCGGGGCAATGGACGTGGTGGACGTGGAGGAGGCCGTGGAGGAAGAAACGAGAAAAGAGGCACACCCGAAAAGGCACATGCATAGATTTAATGTCTGCTATAGACGAAAGACCAAAAACATATTCCTGATACCATCGATAATTTATCTTCAAATTCTCCTATAAATGCCAGAAGATTGTTAAGCTGAGGTGAACATTTGGCTCTGAGGATAATAGGCTACGCCGTTGCCGTACTTATACGAGCCCTAAAAGCGCATGATGAATCACCATATAATTAATGCTATCAGAAGCAGACTAGAATGGATCGGGAGAGGTACCACAGGCAAGCTCTACAGGAGGACGAATAAATCCGAAGGACATCTCGTGTTCTCTTGCCTAGAATCAGGAATGTCTTTTTTCGCCATTAGCAGTCTACACGATCGTGGTGTTAGCTTGGATGGCGTGCTTCTTTGGACAGTACACCGTCGAGTATATCATTAGAGAAGGATTCTGCAGCGTCGTGTGATTTCTCTTCAGCCAGATTCAATAGAATTGCACCACGGAGAAAGGGCACATCAGTGGCCACATCGAATCGATTTAGGCCTTGGTGGCTACGAACCAGTGGTCGTCGGTGCCGGTTCAGCCCATCCTTTTTCTTGCAAGCAATTGGCAAGAATCAGACGAGCAATATTGCATGGTATAGAACTGCTTGTGTAAGAATGATTTGCTAGGGAGTTGTGCTTTGTGGCTTTGACCTTGTGGTAGAGCTACAATGGACATAACCGCGGGCTCAAGACAGAGCAACTGCTGGAGATGTGGGGTTTGTAGCCTCAGACGGCAATTCTACACGACAGCATGGGGCAAAGAAACACAACGATACCACTTTGCTTGTGAAGTTTTCTGTTTCTCAGCATCAAAGTCGTAGGCAGCCAGATAAATGAAGGAAGAGGTCTCATCATCCTTCACATACGATGAATTACAGCCACAGCGTATTCGGAGCCGCAGGATCCGGATCTCATGATGGATGCAAGCCGCGCGGAGACGGGAACGTCAAGTCTCGTCATCGCTTGGCTCATTACGCTGACATTCCGCCTTCTCTGGGTACCTATTTAGGCAGCCAGACCTCTGCTGTTTGAGAGCTTTCCCCCCATTAGCAAACATGAGGTTCTCACATATCCTCCCTTTGGCTGCCCTAGGCGCCGCATTCGTCGTCCCCAACGAGCAGGTCTTTAGTGAACTCTCGATCGATGACACCACCCATGCTCGTGCAAACCAGGGAGCCTGGTCAGAGCAGGTTCTCTCCGAGCTGAAGAACGACTTTGCCGAAGCCGAAAAGGGCATCAAGGAGGCATCAAACAATGTCAAGCACGCTCTTGATGAAGCCTTCAGCTCTGCCTCGGACATTGGAAGCTCAATGACGACCAAGTTCCAGGAGACGGCTTTTGATGCCAAGTCCTGGTTCGAGTCTGCTGCCAATAACGCATACGATGCCTTGGACAGCCACGATGACCACCCGCATCCCCCTCACCACGGTCCTCCCCCTCCTCACCATGGAGAACCCCATCACGGAGGCCCTCACCACGGCCACAAGCCCAATGAGACTGTCTGGCAGCTGCTCAGCTCTTCCAAGTACACCGAGAAGTTCTCGAAGCTCATCAGCGAGTACCCTGACCTCGTCGAGAAGTTGAACTCCACTGGTCATGGTAACTTCACCATCTTCGCCCCTAAGGACACTGCTTTCCCTGACCACCCTCACCACAAGCCCAGCAAGGAGGATATCAAGAAGCTCATCGAGTACCACATCAGTGACGACTTCTACCCTGCTGGCAGAGTTCTCATCACCCACACCATCCCCACACTCTTCAAGGGCGAGCATTTGCCTGGCAAGGCCGCCCAGAGACTCAGCGTCCACCTCGGTTTCAGAGGCTTGACCATCAACTTCTACTCTCGCGTTGTTGCCGTGAACATTTTCGGTACAAACGGAGTAATCCACGGAGTCGACAGCCTTCTCATTCCTCCCCCAAGAGCCTTCAAGATCATCGATCTCTTGCCTTCTGAGTTCTCTACTTTTGAGTTGGCTCTTGGCAAGACTGGTCTGCTTGACGCCTACAACAGCACCGATCACCCCAGCGGTACTCTGTTTGCTCCTTCCAACTTCGCCTTCCAGAAGCTTGGTCCCAAGATCAACGGATTCCTGTTCAGCGAATATGGCCGCAAGTACCTCAAGGCTTTGATCCTCTACCACGTAAGTGAAGCGACTCGATGATATGACCGGAACAATGCTGACTGAATATAGACTGTGCCCGACAATGTTCTGTACAGTGATGCTTTCATCAAGGCCGAGGGACATGACGGTATCCCCAAGGGTCACTGGCACGTCGACCTTCCCACTGCTCTCGAGGATCACTCCCTGTCAGTTGACGTAGGAAGATACGGCGGCCTGATTGACATCAAGGTCAACGCCTTCTCGCGCGTCAGCGTCCAGGATGGTATTGCTGCCGACGGAGTTATCCAGGTGGTCAGCGACGTCTTGATCCCTCCCAAGAAGCTCGGTAGCGCCAAATTCCGAAGCACCAACTGGTTTGGTTCTGAGAAGGAGCTCAGTGTTGAGGAGTTCAAGGCCAGATTCGAGCCTTACGTCGAGAGAATGCTCGACCTCTAAATTAGAGGCGGAAACCCCTCTGTGTGATATGACCATACGATCCTTTATGATTTTTAGTTAGTCAGTGTATAGTAGCCATCAAGGCACCAATATTCAAGGTAGCCACGAGCTTTTCGTTCTTAGTCTTATTGAACACCTGTCACAGTAATCATCGTGACCGCATGTAGTTGAGACTAAGACGACCATAATCTGTTTACCCAATCGCTCAACAGCACGGAAGTTTGTAAAGTTAGCGTGTCTCCAGTTCCATTGTTGGTGAGAGTCGGGCGAGGACGAGGACGAGGACGAGGAAGGGACAGAGGCCAAGGCGTTGCGGCGGGCACGAGACGTGATTGGTCGAGTAGCAGCGGAAGTCAAGTCGAGACAGCACGGCGGATCAAGTTTTGTGCACAGCACATCAGCGACAGCAACAACGACAGCCAACGGGCTCGCCATCTCCAGTCCCCCTCGCCAAACAGGGCAGCTCAACATCGACGCCGTCTCGTCAATCGTGCCATGATCGCGGCATAGACACGACCACACCACACGTTCATTCACAATGGTTGCCCACCTCCACCCGCGTTCGCGCTCTACCATGTCGCTCTTCAGCGGCTGCCTCGCCATTTGCTTTGCCGTCGTTACAGCTCCTCACCTCCTCCCATGTCCTGTCGACAAGACACAACTCGCCGACAGCGCTTCGTCGGATGGCGAGCCCAGACGCCGAAGACGCCGCAAGCAGCAATCCGCTCCGCCTCCCGACTCCGACCAACAAGACGACAACGATATGGGTGCCATGGCCGACATGGCCCCTCCAAAGCGCGAGTGTCCCGTACCCAAGCCCAGTGGCCTCATTGGACAAGTCATGGGCTTCAAACCTCAAGAGCAACGACAAAATCCCACCATCATCATCCAGACACTCCGCGACCGCCATGCTAGACAAGACTCAGACTCGACCGACAAGTCTTTGTAAAAGAGCTTCCAACCATATCGACACATCATACTCTATACACGCTCCAAAGGTCATCTACGAGCAACCACTCCCCGACAAACCGTGCACTCCTCCAGCCGCGACGTAGCTACAGCTGCCCGTTCCCGTGCTCGTCGAGTTTTCGGCCGTCGTCAGCGTGACATTGTCAAAACCGATGTTGAAGCACAGATGCACCTTCGAGCAACTCACACTCGCCGTCCGGTTCTTCGACTCCTTGCCCGACAGCCAGCCCGTGAAGTTGGCAAACACAATGTTACTCACATCCATCAAGCTTGTGCCGGCATAGCTGCCATTGTTGCCAGAGTTCTGATCGATGGTTGGTCCTGCGTCTGCGCCTTCGACTTGGAAGTTCGAGAACTGCATGTTACGGACGGATCCCCAACCACCTCCTCGTGGCTGCCCTGCGTTCTCGTAGTAACCGTTGGCCGAGGCATCTTGAGGGACCAAGGCACCGACCCACGTCTTGATCAGGACGGAGCCATGCATGTCTTCGTTCCATCGAATGATCTGTCTTGGAGTCAGTCGCTGCTGCTGTGCGCCAACCAACCCCATGAAATGGGAAAGCAGCAGAAGACATACCTTCACGTCGTCCACGACTACATTCTCGACACTGCTGTCCTCGAGGTACTGCCCAACACTGCCGATGGCCATGCCGTTTCCGCCTCTGCATGTGGCGTTCTGGATGTAGATGTTGGAAGACCTCGGTTTGACAGCCACACAGTCGTCACCTCCCTGATACACAAAGTTGGTGAGACGAACATTCTTCGAGTCCATTGTATCNTTGAAAGAGTCAGCTCAATGTTGTATATATCGAAAACAACCTTGTCAATACTTACCAAATCCATCTGTATTCTGCACCCAGTTCTGGCTTGCATTTGCTTGTGTTGCCGTCGCGTTGCAGTATAACTCGTCCACCCATATGTCTGTACCATTCATAATGTTGAAGCTCCACAAAGGCGGGTCGATGATGAAGAATTTCTTGACTGTCACGTCTGAGACATTCCAGAGGACAAATGGCATCGGGCGTCCAGGTACTGTATGGCCCGCTTCTGCAGTGTACNNCTTTGCAAGATCAGCAAAATAGCTTGGACATTGTCTGTGGATAGAGGCTCACCAGGTGTCGCCATTTCCATGGATGCCTCCTGTTCCGTATCCATTCATGCGTATATGGTCACCTGTCAGGATGAACGAGGCAGCATGGTTCTGGAATGCAATCGGATAGGTGGAGCTGTTTTGTCTCCAATACTCAATGTCGGGAGAGAACTAGAGTGGTATCAGCACTACTTCTTTTTCTCCATCGTTGCATCTCCTAGTGTGGCTATAGAAATACACAGTGCTAGCAAGAAACAGGGTAGTATCCATTGAGAGACAACATCTTAGTGGCTTCCTTTGGCTACTCTCCTACTTCGATAAAGGACTGTGTCTTTCTATAATGTACACTTTGCTCTGCGCTCTTGTGAGAGGAGGGTGGCTTACCGTCCAAATACCCGCCCAGTTGATGTTGACATCGTTGACGACAGGATTCAGTTTCGAAGCAATATAGTAGTTCTGGCCTTCTGGAAAAACAATGTCGCCTCCGCTTCCACATCTGCTGAATGCTTTGAGGATGTTAGGAACGTCGTTGGTGGTGCCCCCATTAGCGAGCACAGTGCATTGAGGTCGGGTGCCGTGTTTTGAGTAATGGACACCTCCACCAGCAGATGCCAGTAAAGGGACAAGCGCAAGAACAGTCCAGAGGTTTATCGAAATCATCTTTGGATTCAAGAAGACAAGATGTGGAACGGTTTGGCCATCTCTTAGGACATCCCGTACTTCTTATATACGCTTTCTCGACTGCAGCGACTCCTCACACAGACGGCACAAAGAGGAAGATATAATTTCGCTCCAATCATTGCAATGTAACCTTTACGGTATCCCCGTAGATCCCTCGCGGAGAAGTGCATTCGAAGAGACAAAGATCTTCATGGGTACAAACAAGCATCCCAGAGCAGCCACTTGCTCGGCATGAAACAGACCGAGCTGCTGACAAGAAGGTGCGAGTGAGGCTCAAAAGGGAAGGAAGTGATTGCGGGGAAGAACTCCCCAGTGACGTATGTGTTTTTCTGCAAGGCACCACGCCATGGACATCTCTTTGATCTGCATCCTCCAAGAAGCAGACATCAAATCTATCGTACCAGCAAGAACACTTCAAGACCAAGATGGTAGCTGCAGCATTGACGAGATCACGATTTGTGGCAGCCCTGCCGCGAAGCCACATCCAAAACTTCACGCGTACATACACTGCCACTGCATCTAAAAAGGCAGCAAAGAACCGTCTCTACAACTCGTAAATATCACCTCGAGATACAAATATTCTTCAAGGTTGCTGATAAGAAGATAGTGTGCGTTACGAAGACGAATTCGAGACTCTAAACCTGCTCTCAGCCAGTAGTCGTATACCTCTAATCACCCTCTGGTCTGCATCTTGGTGTCCATCCTGCAAAGTCATCTCGCCACTACTCAAAGAACTCATCAACGAAGGTGTTGGAGAAGCTGAAGGTGGTGTTTCTTATGCCGAGATTGAGCTCGACTCGCCAACGCTAGGAGGCTTGGCTATGAGATATCAGGTTCGCCTAATCCGGTCAAACACTTGACAGAAGACGTAGTGATTGACAACGGACNAGGTCAACTCGCTACCCACATTGCTGGCATTCGACAGACAAGAGGCTCAGTTAGAGACAAAAGTCCATAAGGTGGACGACATGAAGAATAGGCAGTTCCTTATCAATTGGATCGAAACCGAAGCGAAGCGTCACGGCGAAGGCGGTGCTGGAGGGAGCAGTCTTTTCGGCTTATTCGGACGCTAAAGACACGCACACGAAAGCATGGAAGTCACCTATAATGGGTCAGCACAAGGCGACAGATGGTATTCATCTGGCACGTAGGCTCAAGAGCCTAGATTTTGCTAAGGGCGAAGCGCAGAGGCTCTATGAATTGCAAGCCACACATGCGGTCTTTGTCGCAAGGATGCAATTTTCATCGACTATAGGAAGCCGAAGATTGTGTTCACGAATAACCTCAAAGAATGGAGAAGGACATCGAGGGTATATATATGATCTAGTAAACGAACAGCAATGTTTCGGCTGGCAAATCCTGCCGACGAGCGAGAAAGCAAATATCATTAGTGCACCACAAAAACGCCGCATGAAAGAAGCCACCGATTCCTACTTTTTTCTTTCGTCAGACATGATCAGATGGTTTCTGCACCTTTCTTCAGGTGAACTTTCAGCAAGATATTACGCGATCGCCGAAGATAGTCGTGCGGAACGAATAAGAAGGACACAATTAGAGAACCGCAGATGTGGGTATCAATATGCAATCCGTGCCAGAATGAAATACGGAATGTCGTCAACTAGGCCTGGTAATACAGTGCAGATTGATTAGTAACGGGATTTGGTGCCACATACACATTCTGGTAAGGATGTGATGGCATGGTGAAATCAGCGTTGGCAAACATGGGGTTCACCATGCCAGCTGGCGGGCGGCGAGAAACTGCTGGAGTTTGTGTGGGGGCAGGTGCAGCAACGGGCGTGATGGTTGTCGAATACTGCCCGTACGGTTGTTGCATTGGCACAGGACTCGTGAGCAAAGACGTGGAGTGAACCGGAGCAATGGGCTGGGGAGGCGGCTGTGGTTCGTCTTGCCAGCCCCATTTCTCTTTGAGTTCTTTGAACACAAATGCGATACGCCATCCTGTCTCCTTGTTGATTTTCTGGAAGATCTGGAGCACCTCTTCCTGCTCACGTCGGTCGGTCAAGCACTCGGCAGCATGGGCCAAGGAACGAATAGCTACACTTGCGACTCCCCTANNAAGTTTGATTAGCATCAAGACCTGTCCGACGCGAGTGGCTAAAGCTACTTACCTGTCCTTGACATGAGCAGTAATGCCACAAATCATCTGCGAATGGCGGTGCTGCATATCGTGCATCTCGGGGTTATCGAGGCCAAAGTAAGGATGTATTTGTGAAAGAAGGACCATGACGGTGTGATAGAATAGACGGGCGACAATGGTTGTACGCTTGATCAACCATACCTCCGGGAAACACGACTTGGACGAGGTATGTTGAGGGTAGAGATAGGCCATAGGATGCATGGTACGAGGAATGTTGTCGTTCCAAGCATCGGTCCATGACTTCAACTTCTGCCATTCACCATACCTATTCTGACGACGAAGTTCCTCTTCGCGCTGATCTTGCTCCTGGTGCCGAGGTATGGTGGCTCTGAAGTTTGCGACCTTTGCGACGATGTATAGCATACGGTGAGTCCAGATTTCCTCTCGGCCGTTGTGAACTTCACGATTGAAGTCCATGTCAATACCCCAATCGTCGGGATCCCAGGCGACCTGCCAGTTGAAGTGGAGGCAGCTCAAGACTTCCAGTCCAACATTGAGCCAGAAGCAAGCGGCGCCAATGCCTTGAGAACGGGCATTCCACCCGCATTCTTTGATCAGAGCGCGGGCGCCAGCGATATGGTTCATTCTCTGTAATGCGCGCTCGCTCATGATCTCGTATACATTCAAGATGACGGCAGTAGTGGCACACACGATAGTGTCGCGATTGGGATTCTGGAGGTTCTTAAGCAGATATCTCGTTGCAGTATCGTAGTAGTGCAGAGCCTTTTCTTCACTGTAAGCAGAATTGACAAGCACCAGATGGCGAGCACCGCAGGCTAGGAAGGCGTTTAAGAGCATAGGCTCGCCTAAAGAATGAAAGGGCAACAAACGTGAGAACTACGAGGCGTTAGTCGGTGCTCAAGAACCCATTTACACAGGGGTACATACGTGTTTCATAGGATCCATGCTGTCCATCCATAGGCCAACTTCTTCGACGAAGACTTGCATGAACAGAGTCTCCTCTTGTGTGGTGAGGAATTCGCGCCTGCCCTCAGCAACATCGTCTTGGTCTTGCTGTTGGCTGTAGGCTGATATGGAATTTCTTTGTTGGTTTGAGAAAGGGGAATCTTGAGTGGCATGGTTGGACGTGTTATAGGCATCGTACTTGTGGTCCTCGGTTGAGGGGTATGATTCAGGAAGCATGCCCTGAATTGGCGGTAGAGGTTGATATGACATGTTTGGAGCAGATGGGGGGTTCCCCTGAGCTTGTGCCTGTGCGTGAGCCTGTGCCTGAGCATGGGCTTGCGCTTGCGCTTGCGCTTGGGCATGGGCTTGAGCCTGAGCATGAGCGTGAGCCTGTGCCTGAGCCTGAGCCTGAGCTTGAGCCTGGGCATGAGCGTGCTGTGCTTGAGCATGTGCCTGGGCCTGAGCCTGAGCCTGAGCGTGTGCATGGGCCACGGCAGCCGGATTGTATTCGAACAGAGGCATGCCCGTCATATCGGTAGCTTGCAGTTGCGGCTGTACAATCGAGGGCCGCGAAGGGCGTGCATCCTTCGCGCCGTACTTCTCCAAGCCTCCAACATACTCGGACGCAATGTCGCGGGACTCGTCCATGAAGTCTACCTTCCATTCAAGCGTGGGAGCCTTCTGCGGCGGGCCTTGGCAGTTTGTGTCGATGAAGTTGAGACGCAGACCGCGTTTGCATTGGCGATTCGACTTTCGACAGTTCTGGCAAATGGGAGCTCCCTCGTCGCACTTGAGATGGCGCTCGCGACACGTCAAACATCCGGTACGCACGCGCTTTGGCTTGGACACGGCGGCGGCGGCTGCCTCGGGCACAGGCACGTCGCCATTGCCCGTCGGCGCAGTCATGGAACCGGAGTGTGTCCTTGTCGCGTACCGCTGGAGCTGAGCTGGACTCGGTCGGCTGATCGCGAGCGTCGCTGAGTCGAGTCGAGTCGAGTCGAGGCGGAAGCGGAGCAGTCGGCGACGTCTTCGCTGTCGGATGCAGGCACGGGAGATCCTACTGGGCCAAGTCGCGTCTACTAGGCGGAACTGTTCGCACGACGGCGCCCGCTGCAGAGTCGATTGGATCAAACGAGATGGGAACAGAACATGGAGGTGATGGTGAACTCAAAAGCGCGATGCAAAGGTGGGAAGTCGCTGCCGAAAGCACGTCTGCACCTTCCAAGCTCATCCCACGCTTGGGCCCGCCCGCTGCTCCTTCCTAATCCTCCAATTCTGCTGTCCCGCTATTATGGAGCCTCGCATCTCCCGTTTTATGCACCTTGTTGTGCAGTCCTGCTCTGATCTTGCCAACTCGACCTGCTTGCTCGTGCAGTCTGCTTCAATCATTGCATGCACGTTGTGAATCGCACATTTCCGCAACGCTACCTTGCCCGTCGCTCCTCTCGGCTACTCGTGCATAACAGACCCTTGGCTGGCTCAATTGGCAATTCGAGCCTGCTCGTGGGCGCCTTCCCGCTGTCATCTGTCACTTTGTACCGAGCACCTCTCATGATCTGTACCTGAACAGGTTTCGAATCCCACTTCCACCTGTACATGGCGCTGTTACAGACTGCTGCTCTGCCTCCTGCTCAGCCAGCCTATGTGCTTAGAGGCCATAATGCACAGATTCACAGTGTTTGCTTTGTGCGCCATAACACCCGCCTCTTGACTGGTGACGCCGAAGGCTGGCTCGTCCTATGGAATCTCGCTTCCAAGCGACCTGTCGCTGTATGGAGGGGTCACTCTGCTGCTATCCTAGCCCTGTCGACCTGGACAGACGACAGGCTAATTACGTGAGTTACAACCACATGTCAATCCCATTCCACCTGCTACTGCCGTGCTGATAAGCTTCCAAGGCATGGAAGAGACAGTA